GCCAGCTGGCCCTGGTCAGCATGTTGTGCAGCTCCCAGTTTGCCACAGTGAGCATTTCTCTTGTCACGTGGGGACTGTCATGTGGACCATGTTGGGAAAGCAAGATCGTTGAGATGAGGAAAGGAAATCCAGGTCTGTTTCATCCACTATTCACACAAACACTTGTGGTAATATTTGTCGTGCTGAACACAAAAAAACGAGGCCTGGCTCAACAGTAAGGAGTTTAGCAACGGAGATGCCTATTAATCATAAAGCAGAAGTGCGGTGAAGGGTACAGACGGGTATGACCCATGATCATATGTTCATTTCTCTGGAGTGCTAAGTTCACTTCCTGTAAGTATTGTGGGGGAAAAAAAAAAAAAAAAGTGGCTTTATAGAAGTTTACTGGAGAAAAAGAGAAAAAGTACTGTTTTGGTGAGCTGGGATTAGGATAAAGCTGTATGAACCGTGTTAAGAATCAGTGAAGTGGATGCCTGACCTCCACTGAAGTATACAGAAATTTCTGTATAGTACAAACTGACGAAGTGATGCTGTTCTGCACCACACAATGATGAATACAAGGTTCTTCACAGGGAAACAAAACATCAAACAAACTGTAATTCACTCCACTATTTGAGCAGTGTAGTCTACTAATACATGATGTAAGACCGAGGAAAATTATTTCCTGGCTCCAGTGAGGGAACGTTTGTTGTGTTCCAAGACTGATAACACTGGAAAACTTGGGGTTTTTTCCTCATGTAACTGTACTTTCCTGGCCCTTTCTTTTGGTTGGCTTGTCTTCTGTGTCAGCTTTCTAGAATGAAAGACTCTTTTCTTTCCTTCAAATTAGAGCAAGGAGAAATGTTAAATAGGGTTAAAATACCACACTGATGACCTCGCACAATGCGTTTATTTTTTCAGTTTAAATTGTAAGATTTTGAGGCAGTCTCCCTTCAGCTTTGGAAGCAGTCATTGATCAGGGAAGCATGGCAGATTCTGAAAACTTCTAAATCAAAATATCCATAGATCCTGATTTCTATCCAAAGCAATGAAGCTATATGGTAAGAAGCCAAAGCCAGAAGTTGAAAGATTATAAAAATATTCCAGACTCTATATGATTAAGCCATTTCAGATTTTTAAATTATAAGCAATGGTGTTTCTAATGCTTCAAGGCAGAAAAAAAAAAAAAAAACAACCCAAAACAAAACACCCTAGAGTTATGGTTTTAACATGAAGTGGATAATGTAAATACAAAATTGATTCTGGTCTCCCAAGTTTGCCATGAAAAAGTTTTCTTACCTCCTTTTGCCTGCTTAACTCACCTGCTGCAGAGTAGTATACGTTACACTTCGTTGGAATGGCTAGTCATCTTGATCCTTCAAAGGAAGACTTAAGAGACACTTAAAAGCTTTTTGAACCTGCTTAAGTTGATCACACTGTTGTAATGAAAACCTCTCTTTATTTTTTTGATACTCCTTAGAGAGTAATTCTGATGTGCATTCTCACCCTCTGTTTCTGCTAACTTCTATGAAATGTAATATTTCTAGTTTACCCAAAACCTTTCTCAAGGAAATTTAAGTACTTTCACAAAATGAACAGTTGGTACTGGTAAGACTCTAAAATGATGGCTCACTGTCCAAGCAGCGGTCCAGGAAAAATTAACTTCTGAAAGACAGCAAAGGAAAATGAGAAAAATATTTGGTCAAGAAAACAGGTATGTTGTAGAAAACTCTTAGCCCTATGTGCTCTTGACATTGTAAACTGGCATGTATGATGTACTGTAGAATTCAGCAAGTCCCGGCTTGCAAGGCTACTTTCAGTGTCTCACATGACAATGGTATCACTACTTCAAATTATTTTTTAATTGATTTTGAAAGATGTGGAAAATGTGCCTAGAAAATGTGTCCATGGCAGCGCCTAGCTTTCTTTCCACCTGTAAGAATATCAGATCTTTCAGTTCAATACCTGTCACTTTTAGTTGGAAGTAACAAGCACTTGGCCTGTCAGCATAGGATGTGTGTAGTACAGGTATGTGCTGTTCAAAATGCTACACTAGTTTGTATTCATTTAATCACTTAAATACTTTGTCTGATAATGCTTGCAGCATAAAGCAGATTCTGCCTTGAAGCACGGTAACAGATGTTCTATGTATGTAAGGTGATGTGTCATCCCAGCAAATTAGCTTCCATGTTGTTTTAAGACTTGCCCTTATGACACCTCCACAGTGCAGACAGGGTAAGGGAGAGCAACTTTCAGTGGCCAGAGTTCTTTCATTAGCATTTCCTAACAATTTTTTTTTTTTTTTTAAATAAGTAATGTTGTTGCCACATATTCATCTATTGCACCAGATCAACCTGAATCACAAATAAGAAATCATGAGTACATACTCATGTACACGTTCCTACAAACTTTTATGAATAAAGAATATTTGTCCTACCTACTGTGTTTAAGATTTAATCTATTCAGTGCCTCAAACCAATTTTCATTAACGTTGTGAATAAACAATAACAAATGCTTTCAAGAATAATGTTGAATTGTGTCAAGTATTAGCTGTATAGTCTTTTTTTGTAGGGAGGTTTTCAAATTGTTTTAAAAACAACTTCAAAGAGGTGTTGATAGTGCTTTCATAATGTTTGCAAAAGGACATCAATAATACTCTAAATTGCAATGCAATGCTGGTACTGATTAGGGACTAGTACAGGCTACCATGTGAAAAATACAATGCGTGGTGCTGGATGATCCTACTAGAATCAAAGTAGATTCACAACTGAAAGCAAAAGTGTGTTTGTTCTCTGAGTCTGACTTCTAGAATTATTTTTCCAGGCACTCCTCAAATTCCTTTATGTACTTCTCTCAATTAACATGGCTTAATATCACTTTCCAACCATAACATCTTAAAACCCAAGGGAAAGACTGTGGAGTGAGACAGCAGCTTGAACGAGGTATTGGTTACAAATGTTCTGCTTCTGAAGAGTGTTTCTGAAATTAGCCTGAGCGCTACCTGTGAAGATAAGCCAACAATGACATTTTTACATAAACTGTTTGCTCTATTTGTGAATGTCTAAAATATTTCATAATCTCAGGAGAGATTAGTGCCATTTGACATCATACAGTCATTAATATTGTCAAAGCGCTGAAGACAGAACTCTAGCAATATGCTAATCAAAACCTGATGAAGACTAAAAATGCTTGTCAGTGAACCACAAAACTTCTGTCAGCAGCTTTTGGCTGGCGTATATTGATGCTCTAGATATAGAAAAGTTATTAGCTGTTTATAAAGAACATTTCAAAGAATAAAAAATGCTGTGATACCTAAGTTATGAGATAGCAGGCAAACTGTTGACAACAGGCATTACAGGAGGTGGAGGAGAAGATGGAAAGGAATAATGCAGCAGCATCTATTACATGTGGGGAAATAGGATGCCAATGCATTTGCACGAGAGATGATATCAGAAACTTCTTTTACATCCTGCTGCCCACTTGCCGAAGGATACTCCTTTACACCTTGCAAAGGGAGAGACCCCTCCATATTTTTCCCACGTGGCACTAAGATTTCCAAAATTATTCTTGTGTATCAAAAAAAAAAAAAAAAAAAAGCATAATAGACTCACCAGGAGAGTGTCTACCAGGCTACTCTGCGTAATTTGGTTACCAGAGTATTTAATTTCCTCCAAGGACAGGGGAATATTCAGTGCTGGTCAATCTGTTCCATGGTTCCTTTGTTATCAGTCACTGTTTATGGATAAAGCTTATCATATTAAATTAAAGGGATAAATATTTCATTCAAAAATTAGAAATGGAATTATGGAAACAGAAAACACATTGCCTGTCCACAAGAACTCAGCTTCATCCTCATCCTCATGCTGTGTTTCTGGTGTCTCTCCTGGGACAGCATTCAGCAATGAGTGATGGGGGCTGACTGTAATATGGTTTAACTTTTTCCAGAAATGTGCTCAGTATGCCTTGGGGTTTTTTGAACCAAGGGTTGATCCCTCCTGCCTGTCCCAAACTAGTCTGTTCTCTGTAGGTTACACAGCTCTGCTAGTAAGTTGCAAACCTTCAATAGATGATTTGTCAAAGTGAAACACTTGCTAGCACTGTGCATGTCCACTTATCTCTAGCAGTTCATAGAATCATTTAAATAAGAAAAGACCTATAAGATTATCGAGTCCAACCATAAACCTAACACTGTCAAGCACACCACTAAACCTTGTCCCCAAGGGCCACATCTACATGTCTTTTAAATCCCTCCAGGGATGGTGGCTCAACTGCTTCCCTGGGCAGCCCACTGCAATGTTTGACAGCCCCTTCAGTGAAGAATTTGTTCCTAACATCCAGTCTAAACCTTTCCTGGCGGAACCCTTAAGGCCATTCCCTCTTGTCCTGCCGCTTGTTACTTTGTTGAAGAGATTCACCCCCAGCTCTCTGCAACCTCCTTTCAGGTAGCTGTAGAGGGCGATGAGGTCTCCCCTCAGCCTCCTCTTCTCCAGACTAAACCCCCCCAGTTCCCTCAGCCGCTCCCCGTACGACCTGTGCTCCAGACCCTGCACCAGCTTCGTTGCCCTTCTCTGGATGCGTATAGAGAACGTACTCAGCAGGGACAACCACAAGCAGCTTTGAGAGTGGTTCTGCCGTTAGCTGCGGGAAGCCTCCCTCCCTCCCCGGGGCTTTCTGCAGGGACCCCGCCACCGCTGCCGCTTCGCACCGGGGCCGTACTGCACGAGAAGGGCTTGGTGCAGGATTGTTTCTGGAAAAGCTGCTCCTTCGTGGCTCGTACCTTTCTGGGATCTGCCTCATGAAGTCAGGGCAGAGTAAGGGTCTGTACAAACATATCAGCATTGGTGGACAAGCCCGTTTCTTACAGCAACGTAACGGAGCATGAGAACGGCACCGCTACAGCAGTGAAACGTCTGCATGTATGAGCGAAAGTATGGACAGCCGCCCGCTGGCCCCTCTCACCGGTGC